ACACAGTATCTCCAAAACTAAATATTTAAATTATTTGGATGCCATTTCTACACGAGAAACCTACCTCTAGGAACAATGAAAGCTCATTCACAAAGTCAGATTATATGTCTGACCTCCCTAGTACAGATTTGAAAAAAATGTTTTTCTTTTTCTGGAACAGATTCCTAAAGCATAATGATTTAGTGTTTTGTAAATCTAAAAATATGAATATTTTTTAAAATTTATTTGAGAGAGAGAGAGACAGTGACAGAGATAGCCAGAGAGTGCATAAGCAGGGAGGAGAGGGAGAAGCAGGCTCCCGCTGAGCAGGAAGCCCAAGCAGGGAGCCTGACATGGGGCGCGATCCCAGAACCCTGGGATCACACCCCAAGCCAAAGGCAGATGCCCAATCGTCTGAGCCACCAAGGCACCCCTAAAAATATGAATATTTTTAAGCAACACAGGATTGTCCAAAGACTCTCCCTCATTTTAGGAAATTAGTCAATATAGTTCCTTCTCATCCACAGTGAAGAAAATGAATCTATTCCACTTAGAGTATCAACCTGTCTATACTTCAATATGAAATGTTTACATTATTCATTTCTCCTTAAACTATGTGAATTTAATGCCAAACAAGCAAATTATCTGATAGATGACCAAAGCCTAAGATGAATACAGTAAATATGGCTTCTCTTTTCTATAACCCTCCCCCCCCCTTTTTTTAAAGATTTTATTTATTTGAAAGAGAGAACACAAGTGGTGGGGAAGGGCAGGGCAGAGGGAGAAACAGGCTCCCCGCTGAGCAGGAAGCCTGACTTGGGACTGGATCCCAGGACCCTGAGATCAGGACCAGAGTTGAAGGCAAATGCCCAACGAACTGAGTCACCCAGGCACCCCCTTTTCTATAACCTCTTTTTTATTTTCAGGGAAAAGTGTGTAGGCAAACCATAAATGTTTGGCAGATCCACACCTGTTTTCTGCACCTTCTGATATAAGGTGGCCAGAATTACACAAGGTGGTGGGACAGGGGACAAGTGTGTTGAATAGGGGATGGGCAAACAATAAACATTTCTTACACATCTTGGAATAGGCACTGTGTAAGAATATTAAAAAATGCACAAATACTAAGTTCCACAGATGTTTTTAAACCTCTGAAAAGATTGTTTCTCACAACCAAAAGAAAAATTAAGAAGATTTGTTCCTGCTTAGGGAATAATTTTTGTAAAGAAATATTAGCTTTTTAGGGGCGCCTGGGTGGCTCAGGTCATGATCCCAGGGTCCTGGGATTCAGCCCCGCATCGGGCTCCCTGCTCCACGGGAAGCCTGATTCTCCCTCCCCCACTCCCCCTACTTGCTGTCCTGCGCTCGCTATCTCTCTCTCTGTCAAATAAAATCTTCAAAAAAAAAAAAAAGAAAAAGAAATACTAGCTTTTGAGGTTAGAGAGATTTCATATTTTTCAATTCACAGAGAATTCAACAGGTAACTATGATAAGGATATAACCATTTCTCTTCTATAGATATATCAGAGGTCTATTCACAGAAAATTGTGTGTCACAGAAAAAGAGATTTACATGACATGTTCCTACTCTTACATTGCCAGAATCCGTTTATCAGCATACTTCAAGGGTGTAAAAGAGTTTATTACCTCTACAATAAAAATATTAAAATGATTAACTCATGGCTCTCCCCAGTATTATACAAATGCTCATTTAATCCAGTTTAGCCTTACATGCTGTCTCTTAATACCCATGATGATATTTAAAATATGCTCCCAAAGAAAGATTCTGCACCTCAATTCCTGTTTCTGATACAAGGGGCATCTTCAAAAAAAGGAAAACAAGATTATAACCACAGGTTGTTGGTTTTAATTACCAAAATGTATAAATAAGGGAACATATAATAAATTTTATATATCATATATAAAATAATTTAATGTATATTTATAATTTTGTATAATATAATTACATATGAAATATAAAATAATTTTATATATTTATACTTTTATGTAATATAAAATATACATTTTGTATACATATAAAATATATATAAAATAAATTTTTATATTATATATAAATTTTACATATATAAATTTTTTAAATAGTCAAATTATTGTTAAGCTTTACAGTTAATAACATTTTGTTAAAGTTATCACAGGCACTAGTTTGCTAATGTACCTAAAGAAATAACAGATTTTAGCACGGAGAAAAATGTATTCCCACAAAGATTAATGGATTCCAAGGAGTGGTGATTTATAACATAAAAAGCTGATGCAACCTTAATTGGAGATATGTAACAACCATGCATGAACTCTTATGAGAGATGTGGACCTCCCAATCTGGCAGCACAGCCATACAATTAAGAAGATACACCTCCTGCTTTAGAGGCATGGTCATATATACTATTTAATATCAGATATGAACTTAAAAATAAGAGCTTTAGTTTTACTATTTAGTGATCCACAAAAAAAAGGAATTTGGGGGGAAAGTCAGGCCTGATAAAACTCTACTATGCTGGAAAGAACAATCTTCAAAAGAGTCTCTCTGACCTACCTCAGAGATACTGGTTGCTTTGAAAAGAGGGAAACTTCCAGGCTAAATTCTATATACTAAAGTGTTCATTGTTACTTGAAGACTGCCATATTTGTTCACTTTTTGTATAGGAAGAGAAGCAAGGCTGTTAGCGTCAACAAGAGTGGTTATAAGTTTAAATGTATATCCAGTATTGTTTTCTAAAGAATCAAGATCTCTCAGAAACACAGAACAGGAGGTGGGGGGGGGATGGTCCAGGTAACCAATTTATGTAAAAAAGAAACAGCTTTTAAGTTGATACCCACTGACTTTGAGTCCTTGGCCTTGGATTTTCTTTGGGATCTAACTATGGAAAACCAATAGAACAAGGCAGTGGCATACAAAGCACCCAAATGTCAGCCAAACCCTTCTTTATGTATGTTGGTTAAATCAGCACTTCTTCGATATTTGAGTCCTAACTCCATGAAAGATTATTTGAGTTTATTCCACATGCTTGAGAAATCTAATCATACCTGAGTATACTGAAAACTACAAAGGTATTATGGGTAGCCTATGTCAGAACCTCAGCACACCACTGTCTGTAAAGACACTCAACAGTAGCACTGATTTAAACTAATTATTTTCTGAAGCCTGTACTCAATGATCACTTGTTAAAACAATTACTGTGAAATGATGAGACCTTCCAAGTAGGTTACACATTAGCTGGAAACATGCTCAATAACAATGACTTCTTAAAAAGAATGTGGGCTATAAAGTTTAGCTGGAAATATACGCAATAAAAGAAAATGACTTCTAAAGAATCTGGGCTGCAAAGTTGAGATATATTTGGAGAAACTCACATCTCTTCATGTAGATAATGTGCACAATACACTTCTTTCAATATGTAATGTAAAAGGTAGGAAACAGGTGTCTTCATTTTTATACTGTCCCACTAAATCACCATTTAACCCAAATTAAGCATGTGTAAACTGCTAATAAAATACTATGCTAATAAGACCAAAATGCATAGAGTTGGTAGATTAACTATCCAAACATATACCTTAACACCAATGACATAAATTAATCAACTGTAAACTAAGTTATAAGATTGAAACAATGAAAAGTGCACTACAACATAGCAGTTCAATTTTAATTAGTAATTTGAGTTAATTTGTATTCAAGCTACATGTGAATTTTAAATGTTAGTAGTAAATACAAATCAATCATGGATGCAAATATAATGCAATGTGAGGTCTATAAAGAACATAACGCTCTCCCATATTCATTTTCAGTTTCTGTAAGTAAACTCTACTTAAAAACCTTCAATATATATAAAATAGCACCCTATACATGTTGAATTGAGGCCAACAGGTCCTTCGTTTAAAAAAAGTTAAATGTGTACTTCCTTAGCATTTAAGCTTTTTTTCAACTTTTCTGACATCAGTTTAATGTGATAAACAGTGCAATTCACCCTCCATTGTTTTTTTTTTAAATAAACAAAGCAGCTGGAAACACACTTACTACACTATTCCAGTCACATGTACGTGAACACAGGTGTTTATATGGATGAAAAAATATCAAATGAATGGTGAAAACCTGCCCCTGACAGTTTTCCCCCCAACTAATAAAAACCACAAAAGCCAAGATTTCAAAATCAAGTTGGAACACGATTTTAAACTAACGAAGCACTAGTAGCATGATCACTTAACACGGTCTTCTAGGACATTTGCTTCCATGATAAAGTAATCCCCGAGAAAGCTTAAATACGGAGATGCCTGTAAAAACAGGTGCAGATGCTAACAGTCATTAGAAACAGTAGGGACCAAAGTTGTACTAGGCAATGGACAGCGAACTATTGCAAGTCTGGGATTATCCTCTGGCTCAACACCAACCCTGAAGGATGCTGAGAATCAAGACACAGCAATGAGGTACTGGGAGCAGAGACTTAAAGGACATGGGGAGAGCGAGACACTAACTGCAGGTGGGGAAAATGAGACAGAAAGATCAGTACAAGCTGGCAGGCCACTAAAAGAAAGCAAGTCTTTCAAATTTGGCGCAGCCCAGGAAGCTAGCTTGAGGCCCAAGCCAGCTGAAGTCACAAATACAGGCCCAGATGGCAATGGGGAGAAACTGAGGCCAGATTCCCAAATAGGACCTGGCCCCAAACATGAAAGTCAAGAGACAATCCGGCTTTGCCTGGGGGTCAGAGGGACTGCCGCAAGCGCAGGACTCGGTAGACAGACACCCACCCAAACAGGGGGAACCGGTTTGGGCAGGGGCTGCGAGCGCGTTCCCGCCTGCGCATGCGCCCTCTCCCCTCCGCCACAGCTCCCCCTCCCCCCAATCACGGCTCCCCTCAGAACCCGGCTCGTCGAGGGAGGTGAGCGCAGTCTGGCCGGCCCAGCCCCGCGGGATAAAAACACAGCCTGGCCCCGAGGAGGGGCTGTCACAGGATCCCCCGGGCCTTGATGGATAGGAAGGTGGGAGGAGGAGGAGGGGAAACGCGGCCCTACCCGACCCGCCGTCTCCTCCTCCGCCGCCCGCCGTTCGCCGTCCGGGAGGCTCCGCCGCCTGGGCCTCCCCAGCCGCCCTGCCCCCGCCCTCCCCGCCCCCTACTCACGTGAGAGTAGCTTCTTCCGCCCTCCGCCCCGCCTCCCTCCCTATTTTATAGGCCTGCTGCTAAGCCGAGCAGCCCCATTGGCCCAACAACAGGCGGCGAGGGCGTACTTCCTTTCCTCGAAGCTCCACCTGGGCTTTTACCCTGCCACGGGAGTCAGCGCCTGCGCCGAGTCTGCACTCTTGAAGGTGGGGTAGCGCCGTGCTCTGTGTTTAGACTTGGACCGGCAGTGTGGCTCTGGACTGCCTCAAGGACTGGAAGCAGGATGGCAGCGGAATCAGGCTAACCAGCACCTGTTACGCCTAAAAGGAGGTACACATGCAAAGACCACTGGTGCTACAGCAAGAAATCTGCTCACCTTTCACGTTCAAGTACTATTTCAAAAGCAGCCCTTAACAGCGTTACTCAACTCACCTGGCCTTTATCGAAGGCGTGCATTATGATAGGTCTTTTTATGGGTATCTCCTTGGCTTTACCACAAACCTGTTAGAATGTTCGATTTTTCTCATTTTATAAAGGAGTCCAACCTAAGTAACAGTTCAATCCAAAAGTCGAACACTTTTGACTCAAGTCCAAGGGCCATTGGCTGCGACACAGCTGCCTTGAGGTACTTGAGACACACAGAACAGATCAGAAATAGCTTGTTTCAGAGTGTTAGACCCAAAGATGGGGCTGGGATTTTATTTTAAAATCATTCAAAAGTGGGGCACCTGGCTGGCTCAGTCCTGGAGCATGCGACTCTTGATCTCGGGGTTGTGAGCTCAAGCCCCACGTTGCGGTATAGAGGTTACTTAAAAATAAAATCTTAAATCATTCAAAAGTGATATATAGAGCAAAAGCAATGAGATTTAAAGTCCTGAATGAATTTACAACGTGGTTGGTAACAGAAACAATGGCTACTAAAGGTGCTAAGAAGTCATGATAATTTATAATTCTACAGCCTATCCCTTACTCTTCACCTTTCTTTATTCAAATAGCCGATGCTCTTTTCCTAGTGAATGAGTCATGTAATGTTTTCCTGTGCATAATGTATCCAAATCAACCAGAGAAAACACAAAAATGTGCTCTGTTGCAGTCCTTTATGTGACTTTTCTACTATTACAATAGACTTGGCTGCACTCCCACAGGAAAATAGCTTTGTTCCTTTTCTCCTTATACAGTTATATAATAATACACACCCATTTTAAAGTAGTAGTATCAAATAATAGATGCAATATTATGAAATCCTCTGATATCCTGACGCACTTTTAATATTTTGGTGACTATACATTCATGTATTCTTTGATTCATATGTATACACCAAATATGTATGTAAATCTTAACATAAATTTTTTAAATAAAATTTTATTACAGATTCAGTACAGTATGCCTTGGAGAACAGAAAACAGAGACAAGCTACAATAAAAAATAAAACATCACAGTCCCACCACCAATGTTAATACCATGATGTATATCCTTCTTTGTGTGCCAACATATTGTTTTTTAAAATGAGATCACATGGTTTAGTAATCTGCTTTATTCAATTAAGAATATCTACTTTACCATTTCAGTTTCTTTTCCTCACATCTAATTCCTAGATCACATCCAATTTTCCATCAACCTAAAAGTATTTTTACAGTTGGCTTTCCCAAATCAGTAATATTTCAATTAAGTTTTCCTCTCATCTATTATCTACTATAATAAAATATTCTGTTGATTGAAATATATTTTTTTAAAGCTAGTTTTCCTAAATCAGTATCCAATCCAGGACCACACACTACATCTGGTTGTTCTATCCCTTAAGTATTTTTTACTCTAGCACTTATGAAAAATACTAAGATACTGGCTTACTGAAGAAATCAGGCCACTTGAAGTGCAAACTTTCCCACTCTCTGGATCTGAATGATTGCTTCCCCAAGCGGTTACTGAATTTGTTCCTTTAGACCTGGTATTTCCTGGAAACTGGAAGTTCTATTTCAAGGCTCAATAGATTAATGTGGTAAGTTGGAGCCAGAATGGGAAAATCCATGAATGCTAAAATTAAAAAAAGGAAATTCAATCTATACACCCATGGGTGCCCTCAGAAGTTTTTAAGGACAGTGCCAATATTATATTTGGATTTTCTAAAAGATCATTCTGGTAGCAGTAGAAAAGGCAAAATGGGGTAAATGGAACAGTTTAGAGGCTGACCAAGATCAGAAAGATTTGAACTAAGGCAGAAGAAGGGATGGGGTGGGAGGGAACAGGGTTCAAGAGACATATGAAAAATATCTTCAAGTTTGCTGATTTTCTTCTGCCTGCTCAAACCTAATTTTGAATCCCTCTAGTGAATTTTTCATTTCTGCTATTGTACTTTTTAACTTCAGAATTTTATTTTGGTTCCTTTCATAATTTCTGTATCTTTAATACTATTTCTATTTTTTTTCATAGTTTTTCTGACTTCATCCATGTTTTCTTTTAGCTCAGTGAGCAACTTCAAGATGGTTTAAAGTCTAGTAAGTCAGATGTCTCATCTTTCTCAGGGAAGGTTTCTGTTGATTTATTTCATTCTTTTGAACAGGCCATACTTTCCTATTTGTATGCCTTTTGATTCTTTGCTAAAAAATGGACATTTGAATCTTATAATGTGATAACTGTGGAAATCAAATTCTCCCCCTATCCCAGGGATTGCTGGTTTTTGTGTGTGTGGTTTGTTTTTTTTGTTTTTTTGATTGTTGAAGGATATCTCTATGCCAGGGATCAGGATCAGCCTAAGGTGAAAGCTTAAGGTCTTCTCAGTTCTTTTCTGAGCCTGCATCTTTTCCTGGTTATACATAGTGGCTTTCTAATTCTCCCTGTGTAAGTGGTTGCTTCTGAATGTCCTAATCCTTAAATTTCTGGCTCCCAAATGGGGTAAAAGGGAAAACAAACAAACAAAACAGAAGCTGTTCCTTCAAATCCCATAGAAGCCAGCTCAGCCTATGGGGGCTGAAACAATGGCAGTGACTCTGTGCCTGAATCTCAGAACTGAAAAGGCGTAATCAGCAATCAAAACACAGAACTCTGGTATTTGGTGAACAAAATTCTTATTTCCCACCACAGCTCCAGCAAGCCACACCAGGAATGTGAACATGGCTGCCTGCCACAGGGCTGAAGGGTAGGAAGCAGGGAGATGCTATCATGCTAAAGGCTGACATTGACTGAAACTAACCTCAATTTACCAACCAAACTTTCTCCTGGAAGATGCAAGAATTCAAATAGACTCCAGAGTTACTTCAGACAGTTTCTGCCAGTACAACTGTTGTCTAGGTAGAGAGATGGATTCCTTGTGCTTCCTACTCCATCTGAGGAACAGAAAGAAAAGAAAAAAAGAAATGTGAACAGTGAATGGAGTCTAAGGGATCTGTGGGACACTATCAAGAGAAACAACATACCGCTGTGGGAGTTCCAGAAGAAGAGAGAAAGGGGAGAAAGAATAATAATCAGAGGTGCCTGGGTAGCTCAGTCGGTTAAGTGCCTGACTCTTGATTTCTGCTCAGGTCATGATCTCAGGATCCTGGGATTGAGCCTTGCATAGGGCTCCACGCTCAGCACATAGTCTGCTTGAGATTCTCTCTCTCCCTCTTTCCATCCCTTCCTGCACTTGTGTGCACACTCTCTTTCTCTAAGATAAGTGAATAAATCTCAAAAAAAAAAAAGATTCAAACTGTAGAAAGCCAAAGAAAAGAGAGACTCTTGAAAGCAGCAAAAGAGAAGTGATTCTTCACATACAAGGGATCCTCAATAAGCTTATCAGCCAATTTCTCATCTTAAACCTTGGAGGCCAGAAAGCAGTAGGTTAATATATCAGTGTGCTGGAAGAAAAAAAAAAACTGTTGACAAAGAATTCTGTATCTGGCAAAACTGTCCTTCAAAAGTGAGGGAGAAATTAAAATAATCTCTGATTTTAAAAAAGCTAAGGAGTTTACCACTAAACCTGGCAATCAGAAGTGCTATAGGCAATCCTTCAGGTTGAAATGAAAGGATGCTCAACAGTAATTTGAAGCCATATGAAGAAATAAATATCTCTAGTAAAGATAAATGTGTGGGGAATTATAAAAGTATTATTATAATCCCAGTTTGTAACTCCACTTTTTATTTCCCATGATTTAAGAGAAAAGTGCATTAGAATATTAATCTATGTTATTGGGCACAGAGTGTATAAAAGATATAATCTGTAACATCAATAACAGAAAGAATGGGAAGAGCTATACAGGAGAGGTTTTGTATGCTATTAAAGTTGGTATCAATTCAATCAGATTGCTGTAACTCTTTGGTGTTAAATATAATTCCCATGACAACCACAAAGAAAATACCTATAGAATATTCACAAAAGGAAGTAAGAGGTGAATTAAAACTTTTCACTAAAAAAAAAATAAACACAGAAAAGGACAGTAATAAAAGAAATGAAAGGCACAAAGGCCTACAGAAAAGAAACAGCAAAATGGCAGAAATAATTCCATCCTTAGCAGTAATTACTTTAAGTGTAAATGGTGTAAACTCTTCAAAGACGGAGATGAGCAGAATGGATTTCAAAAAAAAAGATCCAACCATCTATAGTCTAGGAAAGACTCACTTTAGATCCAAAGATATAAATAGGTTAAAAGCGAACGAATTTTTAAAAAGATATTCCAGGGACTCCCTGGCTGCCTTTAGTCGGTAGAGCATGCGCCTCTTTATCTCAGGGTCATAAGTTTGAGTCCCATGTTGGGCCTAGAGCTTACTTTAAAAAAAAAAATTCCGTGCAAATAGTAACCAAAGAGAGCTGGGGTGGTTATACAAACGCCATACAAAATAGACTTTAAATCCAAAAAAAAGGTTACAAGAGACAAGGACACTATTTATTAATAAAAGTTTCAATAAAGCAAGATTATATAAAAATTATAAACATTAACTACCTAGTAAGAGACCCTCAAAATATATGAAGCAAAAATGACCAGAATTAAAGGGAAGAATAAACAGTTCTACAATAATTGGAAACTTCAATACTCCACTTTCAATAATGAATAGAACAACCAGATAGGAGATGTTAGGAAACAGAGGACTTGAACATTCTGAGAAAACTAAACCTAACAGATATGTACAGAACAGTCCACCCAACAACAGCAGAATACACATTATTCTTACATTCACATGGGACATTCTCCAGGACAGGCCATATAATTAGGCCGCAAAACAAGCCTCAATAGATTTTAAAAGACAGGTATCATATAAAGTATCTACTCCAACCACAATGGAATGACGTTAGAAATCAGTAACACAAATACATGTAAATTACACAACATGCTCTTTAACAACCAATGGGTCAAAGAAGAAATCAAAAGGGAAATTAGAATATATGTTAGAAATGAATGAAAATGATGACACAACATACCAAAACTGATAGAATGCAATGAAGGCACTGATCAGAGGAAAATTTATAGTTGAAAATGGCTACATTAAAAAAGAAGAAAGATCTCAAAATAATACCCTAACTTTACACCTTACAAAACAAGAAAAACTAGAAAATAAACCCAAAACTAGCAGAGGGAAAGAAAACAGATGAGAGTGGAGATAAATTAGAGAACAGAAAAAGAGAGAAATCAATGAAACCAAAAATTGTTTCTTTGAAAAGAACAACAAAATCAACAGATCTTTATGCAAATAACTAAAATCAGAAATAAAAGTGGGTATTACTTGACATTCCAGAAATAAAAGGATTATAAAAGAATGCTATGAACAACTGTATGCCAACAAATTAAGTAACTTAGAAAAGAAACAAATTCCTTGAAACATATAAATTAAACTGATTCAGAAGAAATAGAAAATCTCAACACAAATATAACAAGTAAAGAGATTGAGTAATCAAAAAACTCCCAACAAAGAATAGTCCTGTCCCAGATGACCACGAGAGAAATGTACCAAACATTTAATGAATAACACCAATCCTCCTCAAATTCTTCCAAAAAAATTAGAGGAAATATTTCCTAACTCATTCTATGAGACCTTCATCATCCTGATACCAAAGCCAGATAAAGTCATCATAAGTAAGTTACAGACTGATATCTCCTATGAATATAGATGCTAAAATCCTCAACAGCATTTAAGGCAATCAAATCCAACAACATATTAAAAGGATTATTCGCCACGTACAAGTGGGATTTATTGCAGGAATGCAGTGTGGTTCAACATAAAATCAATCAATGTAATATATCACATTAATAAAACAAGGAGAAAAAAAAACACACGATCGTCTCAATGGATGCAGAAAAGACATGTGACAGACCATAATGCTTTTCAAATAAAATCTCTCAGAAAACTAGTTATAGAGGGAAAATTTCTCAACATGATAAAGGTATTTGTTAAAAACCCACACTGAACACCATACTCAATAATTCAGCTACCCCTCTAAGATCAGAACAAGTCAAAGATGTCTCCTTTCACTGCTGCTATTAAACACTGTACCCGAAATTCTAGCCAGAACTATTAGATAAGAAAGAGAAATAAAGGCAAATTGTGGAGAGGAAGAGGTAAAACTATCTCTATTCACAGACAGCATGAATTATATGGAGAGAAAACCTCAAAGAACCCACAAGAAAGCTACTAAAGCAAAAACAAAACAAAAATTCAGCGATGTTGCTGGGTATAACACCAACACACAAAAATCAGCTGTTTCTACACACCAGCAATGAATATGAAAAGGAAATGAAGAAAGCAATTCCATTTACAATATTATCAAAAAGAATACCCCGAAAGCTTGAAAACATTGCTGAAATTAATGAACACCTAAGTACATGGAAAGACATTCTGTATTCACAGGTAGGAAGACTTAAACTTGTTAAAATAGTAATGCCACCCAAAGTGGTCTACAGATTCAACACAATATCAAAATTACAACATCCTTTTTTCTCAGAAATGTAAAAGGTCATCCTCAAATTTATATAGAGTTTCAAAGGGCCAAAACAACTTTGAAAAAGCATAAAGTTGGGGCGCCTGGGTGGCTCAGTTGGTTAAGCGACTGCCTTCGGCTCGGGTCATGATCCTGGAGTCCCGGGATCGAGTCCCGCATCGGGCTCCCTGCTCAGCAGGGAGTCTGCTTCTCCCTCTGACCCTCTTCCCTCTCATGCTCTCTCTCTACCATTCTCTCTCTCAAATAAATGAAACCTTAAAAAAAAAAGCATAAAGTTGGAGTACTCACACTTCCTCAAATGTGATAGGACAGAGAGCCCAGAAATAAACCGTCACATATATATGGTCGAAAGTGTCAAGACCATTCAAAGGGTAAAGGACAGCTTTTTCAAGAACCGGTGCTGGAAAAACGATATTCAAATGAAAAGAATATGAAGCTGGGTACAGCTGTGGTGACTATCACACAACACTGTGAACGTACTTAATGCCACCGAACTTTACACTTACAAGTGATTAAAATTATACTGTGTTTGACCACAATAATACCCCTTTCCCCCAAGAAAAAAAGGAGAGCCCAGCGAGCAACTGAATTGGCAAGGAGAAGGAAAAGGACTCTAGAACGATGATAAAGTTTTCTGGTCGGCAGGACTGCGTGGATGATGCCGTTTACCAACACAAGGGCTACAGGCCATAAGAAGCAGGTCTGCATATGAACTTGAGATAATTAAAAGGTACATTAAGATTGGGACAACCAACTGGAGATGTCTTCTGTGCAGCTGGCCCTGGAGCTCAAGAGACCTGTCTCGGCTGGCGAGAGTGATTTCTGAATGGTCAGCACGCTGTAGATAACGGAAGCCACGGGAATGAAAGAGATCTCTGGGAAACACCAACATCCAAAAGCGAGGGGAGTAAACCACCTTCTGCTTTCAGGGCCCCAGCTCCGCGAGTCCACATCCCTGGGCGGGAGGGTCTTACCAAGGCTTAAGTGCGGAGGCACCCTTCAAGCCCACGCGGCAGCAGGCGGCGGATGCCCAGCTCCAGAGGAGCCGCTGCAAACGGACGAAGCGCGCAGAGCCTGAGCCCGGGACGCGAAGGAACCACCACACCTTCGAGTCGCCGGCGAGGAGCTCGCCGCAGGCCTCTCGGATACTCTGCACCCTTTCCTCCGCGCGCAACGTCCCTCTCCGGGCCCCGTCACCCTCCGACTCTTCCGATTGGTGGAGAGGACCAAGGGACCTGGAAGTTGTTTTGTCCGGCGAGGGCTGCCCTTCCGGTTCCGTTGGGTCCCCCTTTGGCTCGGGTTCCCTGCCCCTCCCCCTTCCCGGAGCCCCGAGGGGCCGGAGCTCCTGGCGGTGCCGGATCCTGACGGTGGCCTTCCCCCGGGTCTGTAAGTGCGGAGGCGGCCGGAGCGCCGGGCAGGGGTACGGGGTCTCTCAAGAGGGAGCCCCCTTGGGGCCCTGGATTGGCCGGGACCTGCTCTGGGATGGGGGCGAGGAGCTGGCCTAGGCCCGGTGGGACTTAAGGAACCCTTGGTCCGGCCCACGCTGTGCCCCGCCCCTTTCCCTTCCCTGCGTCTGGAGTGGGGAGCCTAACTATGCCCCAGGGACCTCCTCCTGGGACCCCAGCCGAGGGCCTGGCAGTTGGCTTGGACGCCTGACTCTGGCATCTTGTAGGAAGTGCCAGAGCTGAGGCCCTGGGAAGGCCTCAGTGCCGGCCCGCTAGGCTCACTATGCGTGCTGGCCGAGGTTACCCTTTTGCCGGGGTTTCCCCTAAATCGGCCACTGGCCGCAGCACCTTTTCTATTACTGGCGCTATGCCAGGTACTGGGGCTTCTTAAGATACCCTTCCAGTTTTCCAGGGTCAAGTTTGGGAGCCAGATATAAACAAATAATTGCTCATGCGATTTATGTATCAGTCATATATGTGTGAACTGCCCAAGGGGCAGTTGCTAGGAAAGCTGAAGAAAGAAAGTGAGGTCTGAATTATACTTCTTGGAGAGGATGAAGTGGAGGGGAGCTTTTCAGGCATAAGGAAGAGTTTGCAAGGCTCTGAAGGAATGACTGAGCGTAACTTGTGTGTGAAGAGGAGGAAATAGGGGTCTGTTGTGCGTAGGATGAGATACGAGGCTGGGAAAGTAGGCTGAGGTCCAGATAGTAGAAGGTTTAATCCTAAAGGAGATGGGTAGTTTTAAAAGAGTTTTAAGCGGGAGACTTATACAGTCAGATTTGCACAGCCATATTGTTCTAGAAGTCAGCCTATAGAAAAGAAATGTCTATAAGCTGATTATGGACTCTTCAACTAATGTCTGGGTACTCTTATTGGAAATTCTTTTGAAGGAGTAATGGAATCAGCCTAGTGAAAGTTAATGAAGGCCTAAAATGGAGTTATGACAGTGTTACTGGAAAGAAGGGAGGTATGCTGGAGTGAACGGTGTGAAAACTCTGTAATAAATTGGATGTTGAGGGAGAAAGGTAGCAAAGCTGATTCCTAGGTTTTAGGCCTTTGGCATTTGGAGAATGTTGATGCTATTATCAGCTATAAAACCGTAACCTTGTAGATTACAAATTTATTTTTTTGGACATGTGTAATTAAAGGTATAATGGAACAGCCACATAAGACTGTCCAGTATAGAGTTGGAAATGCAAATCCTGCAGCTTAACCTCAGTGCTGTGGCTAGAGGTAAAAGTTCTAGTCACTGGCATAGAAGTAGAAGCTGTAGTAATATTTGGCATCAGGAAGGAAGTATTGAGAAAGATGGGAATATTTTGGGGGAATGGTTGCATTTATGAAGCAGAAAGGGGAATGAATTCTTGGGATAGCAAAAACAGAGGTAGGGGATATGTATAAAATACAGAGTTCCAGGAATCAAGAAGACCCAGAATCAAGAGAAGGGAATTTTGAGGAGGGTCCACTGGGACAATTCATGCAGAGCATTTGGGGAATGAGAGGGGGGAAAAAAAGATTGTATTTCCCGTAGTAAGAGATAATTAGTGGGGCACCTGGCTGGCTCAGTCAGTAGAGCATGCAGCTCTTGATCTTGGGGTCATGAGTTCAAGCCCCATGTTGGGCATAGACATGACTTTTAAAAAAAGAGAGAGATCATTAGAGACCTTTTCAAAAGCAATTTTAGTAGAGTGATGAGGTCACAATTTATGAAATAATGGAGACCTCAACTGGTTTGATGTTAAATGAGAATGAGAAAAGGCCACATATGAAGTGTTTCATGAAGAAAATTGACAGGCTTTATTTGTTTATTCACCTAACATGCTTATCAAGCACATTCCAGACACTGCTCTAAGCTCTTTTAAACATTAATTTAATTTTTAATTTCCCATAACAACGCTATGAAGTAATATTACTGTTTGACAGATGGGGAAAATGAAGCACAGAAGGGGTTAAGTAATTTGCCCAGGGTCACACAGCTAGTAAGTGGTTGAGCAGGGTTTTCATCCTAGGAAATATGGCTCCAGAATCCATAGTTTTATCCACTGCACTAAGCAGTGACTGAATATGGAAGTGAAAGGAGTGGGAAAATCTTAAGCAAAGATAGGTTCATTGATAAAAAATGGAGAGGCTTGGAAGGAGAACCTAATTGAGAAGGTAAGTAATGGATGTATGTTTATATTACATATTTGTTTTTTATTTCTCTCTGTCTTATATCCTCTTCCAATCAATGCCACTTTAGGTCAATTTCTTTCACAATTAGGTCAATTTATGCCATGCTTTCATCTATCCCTTACTATCTATAATCAGGTCTCCTCTTCAGCTTCAGACTCATATCCAACTAGCTAATAAATCTTCCGCTTCACGTCATGTAAGAGTCTCTGACTAAACATTTTAAAACCAGACCCATGATCATCCCCTCCAATATTCCCTAGCTTACTGAGTGACACTGTGTCAAATTAATCCAGTCATTCAAATCAAAGGTCTTGGAGTCATCTCAAACTATCCTTTCTTGAACCCCACCTTGGTCACCAAGTCCATCAGTTCTTTGAAATATCTCTCAAATCTGTTTTCCTCTCTCTATCCCTATGATTGGTGTCAGTATTCAGGCCCTCATTATTTCCATCTTGATCTGCTAGAGTAATAGCATACTACAGGTATCCTTGCCTTCATGTCCACTGTTCTTAAAGCCATTCACCATTAATTTTTATTTTTGACTTACTGAGTTTTAGACAGTGCAGGAGTTTAGACATCACACATTTCAAGCAATAGAATAGTAGCCTAGGGCAGGTATTGTTGAGTAACTTGAGGTAAAGTTAAGTTTGGCTAAGGTTGGCCGTAAGGATGGAGATTTAGGGATTTTTTTAAAAAAAATAGAGCATGTAAATAAAACATGGAGAAACGAGATGGGCTTTCTGAGAGGAAGTAAGCCTTGAAAAAACAGCAAAAAATCAAGGACTAAGCTTTGAAGGATATATTTACCTTTACACAATTTATTGGACCTTGAAGAGCAAACAAGCAAAAGAATGGTGGAAAGTTGAGGCCAGTAGTTAAGCAAGTTGGCCATTTCTGTACAACAGTTTAAAAAGAATGAACTAGATCTCTATTCAACATATATAGCTGTCAAAAACAATACGTGAAAAAAGAAAGTTGCCAAACAATATGTATAGTTGATGTGTAAGAAACAGTCTTATATCTTCTGGGGTTAGGCATATAGAAGTATTGTTTTTCAAATGGAGGGAAGGAGAGTCAAAAAGGACCAAAGTTAAACTCAGTAGTAAGTGGACGGTGGTTGGGAAAGGAGACTTTTACAGTATCTATAATGTTGAAAAACTTTCCAGGAAGGATATATTTCTGTGTATATTACTTATAGTTAAAAGTAAAAACAAAAGATTGATAACTTGGAGAATGTTGTGTCATGAAAGTTACCCAAATGAAGAAAAAGATTGAGGTTTATAGAGAGAAAGGTTGTGGTGTAATGCAACCTTTTTGAAAAATGGAGTATGATGTTAATGAGAAACAAAGAAAGATTTCCAGGTAGTTATGAGTGCTAAGTTGAAAGATAAGGGTACTTTTGTGAGGTAGATGACAAAATAGACTGACGTATATCTTGGGAGTTTATTATGTGGAATAGAAAAATTTTCCTTATAAGTAATTAGAGGTATTTGAAATAAGAAACTTGGGTATTTTCTCACTGCCTGTAGCATACCAGTAAACATTGTCCAACTTAGAATATCCACTGATCCTTTTTGGTTACTCCTGTTTGAACAAGGGGAAATTTTCAGATCAGTTGGCACATTTGTTACAGAGATAATTATGAAAGAACTGTATAAATATAACAAAGAGAAAGTGATCTTCAGTGAGAATATTCCTATTACATTGATGTTTGAGAAATAGGTCATTCAAAGCTTGCTAATAGGGGTGCCTGGGTGGCTCAGGTCATGATCCCAGGTTCTTAGGATAGAGTCCTGCATCTGGCTCCCTGCTCAGCAGGGAGCCTGCTTCTCCCTCTCCCTCCCCCTGCATGCTCGCTCTCGCTCTCTCGAGCTCACTCTCTCTCAAATAAATAAATAAAATCTTTTTAAAAAAAACTTGCTGGGTGCCTGGGTGGCTCAGTTGGTTAAGTGACTGCCTTCGGCTCAGGTCATGATCCCGGAGTCCTGGGATCGAGTCCCACATCAGGCTCCTGGCTCAGCCGGGGAGCCTGCTTCTCCCTCTGACCTTCTCCCCTCTCATACTGTTTCTCTCTCTCTCTCTCTCAAATAAATAAATAAAATCTTTAAAAAAATAAAATAAAATAAAATAAAAAAACTTGCTAATAGAAACTTGGTAGTATGCAGATTTAATTGCAGTCGCCTAGGTAATAGATAAGGGCCTGAACCATGGCAATGATAGAATAAAGAGAGAGAATTTGGAAGTCATTCTGAGGAAAGAATCAACAGAATGTGGTGACCAATTCTCTATTCTACCTGATAAGTTCTTTACTTTCTTTCAGTTACTCAAAGCTCTTCTATAATCTAGAATTATGTGAGTTATTTTTATGAAACTTATGAATAACTGCTGCTATACTTATAAGTTAATTACAGTTATTTGGAAAGGCATTCAGATTTAGTATACAAATATAAATACACAAAAGATGGAAAAAACATAAAGTTAAAATAGGTATGGGAGACGAACCATGAGAGACAATGGACTCTGAAAAACAAACTGAGGGTTCTAGAGGGGAGGGGGGTGGGGGGATGGGTTAGCCTGGTGATGGGTATTAAAGAGGGCACATTCTGCGTGGAGTACTGGGTGTTATGCACAAACAATGAATCATGGAACACTACATCAAAAACTAATGATGTAATGTATGGTGATTAACATAACAATAAAAAATTTTAAAAAATAGGTGAGAAAGGTAAAACAAGGATAAGGGAATAAAATGCAATCAAGAATATGACTAGTACAGGGGCGCCTGGGTGGCTCAGTCGTTAGGTGTCTGCCTTCGGCTCAGGTCATGATCCCAGGGTCCTGGGATTGAGCCCTGCATCGGGCTCCCTGCTCAGCGGGAAGCCTGCTTCTCCCTCTCCCACTCCCCCTGCTTGTGTTCCCTCTCGCTGTGTCTCTCTCTGTCAAATAAATAAAATCTTAAAAAAAAAAAAAGAATAAGACTAGTACATAAAAGGCTTACTGTTAAAGTCCTCTAGACTGGACACAAATTTGGCTTTACATCGTACTCTTTGTTTTTAAAAAACCTTTTATTGAAGCATAACTGAATACACAAAAGTATGAAAAACATTAAACGTACAGCTGAATGGATATGAGGAAGGGAGTCTGAACAGTTACACAGTTAACATTATTATCAGGTAAAACTTCACCTAGTCTTACTGTTCATACATGGACTTTGGCATCACATAGCTTGGGCTCAAGTTGCACCTCTAACACTTAATACTTTCCACCTCTCATAAGTTGAGCAAGTTACTTATATCCGCCAAGATTGAGTTTCCTCATATGCAAAATGGGGATGCTAATAATACCTACCGCCTAAGGATTTTGAGGATTAGGTGGGTCAATTTAGGTAAAGCACTTAGCAGTATACCTGGGACATAGCAAGGATTCAATAAAGATTAGCTATCCTTTCTCTTATCATTAAGCCAGTTTATAAGAAACACAATTATTCTTTTTCATTTTGACATTTTTAAAAGTAAAAAAAAAAATTGTTTAAAATTTGGTTTTACATTGTCAAAACTGTTTTGGTAACAAACGCTAGAAAGGAATTTTCCCCCGGACACTCAAACGAGGGCCTCTCTATCATAGAACAATAATAATTTCATAGGGGACATTGAAGAGTTAATTATTCTGCTAGTTTTTGTTGAATGAGCTGTGTATAAAGTAACACTTGGTCCTTGCCCTAGGATAACTAATATTGTATTGAAAAGAGAAACTGGTGGCAGGAATCAATTAAAGGGATAAACTGTGTGGTCCAGAAATAAGAGTTTATCAAAGACAGCCGATAGAGTACACTGACATATATTAGGTAAAACTTCTTAAAGTAAACAGAACAAATTTTCCTCACATTCTTGGACTATAGCAGAGAAATCAAAGCAAGCAATTTCCTGGGGTACCTACCTGTTGGGCTGCTCTCACTGTTAAGTTTCTTGAGACTGATTGGTAGGAAGTACTCCAGCTCCTCATCTTTAGAGCTTCAGGGAACAATTATCCCTAAGGATAGTTTGTCTAAAGCACTCTGAGTATTATCGTCCTATAGATGAAAGGAATTAATGATCATTTTTGGGTGTGTGTAGGAAAATACTAACCTGAGGGTAGACTGAGGACAAGCTAAACTCTAAAAAAGAATGCCCCTTTTGTTTGGCCACTTGAAACAATAGTCATTTTTATAACTTCTGGTTATAAATTGGGGTATTCACTGTTTCCAGAATGAATGTATGAGGCCACTGAAATTGCTGAAACTAACCAGTGATAATACAATTTTGCTGCTTTCTTTATTGATATGTTTCTTGTATCTTCTAGATTTTTCCTTTTTATTTGATATTCACCATCTTTTCTCTGATGCTGCATTTGCTTCTCTATATCCTTCCTTTCTCATCTTTATTGTGATTATTCATTACCTATACATTCAGGATGCCATACAAAGGAAAAGCTTATAATTTCTATATGTCTATTTTTGTTAATAAACCATGCCATTTCTCCCTCCTATGTTTCACCTTTCTTTCAATGACATTTCACTCTTAAGTTTGGGACCTTAACACATTCCTTTTTTTTTTTTTTTTTTGTCATTCTCTGTATCTAGTCAATAACCAAGTTCTTAAAATACCTTTTGTTATTTTTTCTTGCTCCTTATTCCCATTTTCATTCCTTTCTAGACTCTCATGGCCTTAGACCCGTAATGCTTTTACAGACTCTGAGCTGATCTTCCTAACAGCAGGTCTTCCTTCCACTGTCAAACAAATTCTATAGGTTCAACAAACACAAACTGAGCACCTGCCATGTGTTTAGTACAATATTAGGTGATGAGAAGACAGACCAGTTTGAACAGAAGAGGGTCTGGCCAGTAATGTGGCTGTAAGAAGTAGAATTTGAAGCAAAAGGAAAAAGTGTTTTGCCCTAGAAGATGCAGGTTCCCAGCATTAGCCTCATTGAGTGAGATGGAGATGTTTCCCTCAAATGCCATGAAGCTTGCAGTTTGGAGAGGAAGGAACAAGTACTTAAGATATTTTGAGTGTTATGGTAGAAGTGCTATGCTATGGGTCCAGTAGAGACAACTGTTCTAGTCTAAGAGGTTGATAGGGACATCTCAATAAAAAAAGGAGTGATGAATTTTGATAGCTCAGTTGATAGAGCATCCCACTCTTAGTCTTGGGGTCATGAGTTTGAGCCCCACATTCAGTGTAGAGATTACTTGGAAGGAAGGAAGGAAGGAAGGAAGGAAGGAAGGAAGGAAGGAAGAAAAAAGAAAGAGAATGCGACTTACTTGGAAGGAAGGAAGGAAGGAAGGAAGGAAGGAAGGAAGGAAGGAAGAAAAAAGAAAGAGAATTAATTAACTGTACTAAGGCCTGGAGTCAATAGAGTGCTGTCATGCACCAGGCACTGAGCAGTATGAGTAAGACCTGGACTCTGCTTAAGGAGCTGGTGTTCTATGAGCCTTGGTCAGTCACTGTTAGATAGATAATAAAGATTGGGCTTCAGGATCTATATGTGGCCAATTACAGCTGATTGTCTCTTGTGATTCTCAACTATGGAGTTGATGAATGCACAAAGTTCAAGTTGAATTTATTGATGCACTGAGATTGTAGCGCTGTTTTTCAAGGGTAGAGTTGATACACCTACTGATCTTCCAGAAGACTGGTATATAAACAGAGTGCCAGTTTATTATTTTTACAATGACTGGTGGACTGGAATTATCATGTTCACATAGGTAATTCATCCTTCCCTTTAGGGAGAAACATGGGAAGACAAATTATCAGAAAATCATTTACAGAGTATAGAATCAGAACATAGGAACTTTCTCCAAAGGAATTGCTATATAAAGGGACAGATAGGGAAAGAGTTTGGCATACACCTTCTCCATGGTTGAATGGGTTATGCCAATGTTTACCTTAATTATTATTTGGTTTATTTCATTAGTTTATCCTCAAAGGTTAGTCTTCATCCAGGAGACAGTGGGAAGTCACAGAAGGATTTTAGGCGGGAGTTGGATATAATCACGTCGAGTTTTTTTGAAAGTTGACATTGCTGTAGAAGTTGGATTAGAAGGAACAGAAGCTGGAACCCAAGAAACATTTATGATCCTGTTCTAGTAGTCCAGTTGATGAGTAATGATGGATAAACAGGAATAAAAAGAAAGAACAGAATCTATAAGCTATTAATTTGATTGACTTTATTCCTACTCAGATTCCCACCAAGTGCCTCATCTGTTTTTTCTATATAAAATATTTTATTTACTTTCTATATCAAGAAATGTTGCTTGAGAGTTTAGATTTGTCCAAACTGCACAGGATAAAGACCTGTGCCTTTGACACTGTCTGAACATTGTGCCTTTAAGTCTATTACTTCCACTTCATTGCAGAAATGCTTGTATGAATAAATGCACATCAGTTTAAATAGAAGAGGATTTACCCAGGAATGGGGCAAGCAAGGTCACTGCAGTTCTTTAAAATAGAAAGCAAAGGAAAACATTTTGTCTTTGAAGAAGCAGGTTCACAGTATCATGTTAAAGAAAATAGTTACTTTATTTGTTGGGATGTTTTTAGTTTGTTTTTGAAACCTGATAGAATTCTCATTTGAGAAGCGAAAAAATGTTTTTTTAAAGTAGCTCAAGCACTATTCTTGTATTAAGTATCTTAAAAAGTTGAATGGATGCCAAACTATTTACACTGATACAAGTCTACTCCTTAGGTGCAATTGACACTTGATGTGGAATAATTTTTCACAGCCTTTGAAAGCTGTTACACTAGCTTCCTCTTTCAAGGAAAATTTCATTTGGATACATACGAAGAGATATGACAACACAAATTGTTTTTGGAAGGAAAAATCCAGGTATCTTAATTGTTTGAATTTTCTTAAATTCATCCTTTTTACATTTCTGTTCTTTAGGTCTGCCAAAATGTCTGAAAGATCAGATCTCCTTCACTTCAAGTTTGAAAATTATGGAGATTCAATGTTACAAAAAATGAACAAATTAAGAGAAGAGAATAAATTTTGTGATGTTACAGTTCTCATAGATGATATTGAGGTACAGGGGCATAAAATTGTGTTTGCTGCAGGTTCCCCCTTCCTAAGAGACCAGTTTTTACTGAATGATTCCAGAGAGGTGAAAATCTCCATATTGCAGAGTTCCGAAGTGGGGAGACAATTGCTCTTATCCTGTTATAGTGGTGTGCTGGAATTCCCTGAGATGGAACTGGTCAATTATTTGACTGCTGCAAGTTTTCTTCAGATGAGCCACATTGTAGAACGGTGCACACAGGCCTTGTGGAAGTTTATAAAGCCAAAACAACCAATGGATAGTAAAGAGGGATGTGAACCGCAGAGTGCTTCTCCCCAGTCAAAAGAACAGCAGGGAGATGCCAGAGGCTCCCCAAAGCAGGATTCACCTTGTATTCATCCATCTGAAGACAGTATGGATATGGAGGACAGTGATATTCAGATTGTTAAGGTAGAATCTATTGGGGATGTATCCGAGGTTAGAAGTAAAAAAGATCAGAACCAGTTTATTTCTTCTGAACCCACTGCTTTACATTCATCAGAGCCCCAGCATTCCCTGATAAATTCAACTGTGGAAAACAGAGTAAGTGAAATAGAACAAAACCATCTCCACAATTATGCCCTCTCTTACGCAGGCAGTGATAATATCATCATGGCCTCAAAAGATGTCTTTGGGCCTAATATTCGAGGTGTAGACAAAGGCTTACAGTGGCATCACCAGTGCCCAAAGTGTACCAGGGTGTTTCGTCACCTGGAGAACTACGCCAACCATTTAAAAATGCACAAACTCTTTATGTGTCTACTCTGCGGCAAGACTTTTACTCAGAAAGGCAACCTTCATCGACACATGCGTGTGCATGCCGGCATTAAACCTTTCCAGTGTAAGATCTGTGGGAAAACCTTTTCTCAGAAGTGTTCCTTACAGGATCATCTTAACCTTCACAGTGGAGATAAGCCCCATAAGTGTAACTATTGTGACATGGTTTTTGCACATAAGCCAGTTTTGAGGAAACATCTTAAACAGCTGCATGGCAAAAACAGCTTTGATAATGCCAATGAAAGAAATGTGCAAGACCTCACAGTGGATTTTGATTCTTTTGCATGTACAACAGTCACAGACTCTAAAGGGTGTCAGCCACAGCCTGATGCAACACAGGTCCTGGATGCAGGTAAACTGGCCCAAGCTGTCTTGAACTTAAGAAATGATAGTACTTGTGTGAATTGAGTAGGGGCTTTATGCTCTCAACTTAGAATGGACTGAAAACGTGGCAATAGTCTCGAGTCTTTTTAGGAGTGATTTTGCTAGTTTGACTTCTCCAAAGCCTCTGTGCGGGTTGTAGGGGTGAGTCAAAGCACTAACAGACCAGGCAACTTACCACTTGGAGTGGTCTTGCCTTCCTTTTGCCCTCTTCCATTTTGTGTTTTGAATTATTTATCTCGTGATGTCTGTTTTCCTTTTCCAAGGAGTATTCCATTTGTCTACCTAACAATTGACTTTTTCTTAGACTGAAACTATTTTAGGCTTTTCACTGGGCACATTCTGAAGGTACCAATAAGTTAATAACATCACCTACAGTCCACTAATAGATGCTATGCTAAGGGAAGTGAGTAGTATTTTTCTTTGGCAAAAAAATAGGCTGAGATATAAGGTGATACTGCTCTTGGCCTGAATATGTGCTAGAACTTCTGGTTGCCTATTGTTAATTGCCTACTGATAATGAATCTGCCTCCTACCATTTGTACTTGTCTTGGAGCTGGTATGAAGTATTTTGGGTTGTTCTGTACTCTTCAACAGTATTATGGCCCAACTTCATGTCACTGAGTAGTTCACATAGACCAGAGTACAATCTTTTCAGCAACATGGATCAGCATGAGGAACATAATTAACAAAGGATAGAAGTACAATTGTACAATAGCACTTACATAGGAGTTCTTCCCAAAAAGAAGCCAAATGCTTATAATTAATGTGTAACTTCTTGTTGATGTTTTTAAGTCAGGATTGCTCCAGGCACACTTAAAATGTGCTAAAGTATAATGGTCTCTCTAAAAAGGGGCTATCTGGGAGTCCGTCTCTGGACTTTGTTTTAGAGGCTAGCCATCAGAGAGGTGAGTTTGGCCTTCAGAGTTTTGTCTGGTGTAATGTAATCTCTGAATTCTCATTTCTTCCTGTACTCCAGTTTCTAAAATGGATGAAAAAAGGTGGATCACAGAGGAGCAATCAGGCTTTTGCATTCAGATATTCCTATAAAGGTACACAGTCCCATCTTGCCATGTTTGATAGATCACTAATACAAAATTGATCTTCCAATATGGAAAAACACAATCGTTTTTTCTAAAGCACATGTTAGAGTTAAGAAATAAAATTTTGAGTCTTAGTAGCTTTTGACTCATGAGTTAGATTTAGGTAATAGGAGTCTTAGAGTCCTTAGAGAATCTTAAGAGATCATCTACTCCACCTCTTTTTTTTTTTTAAGTTGGGGTATCCAAAGCTCAAAGAGGTGGCCTTGGCCAAAGTAGAGAAGTGACTAAGAATGAGCTAATGTCTTCTTATTTCTCACTATCTCTTGGCTTAAAAAGATTTAGTACATGATCAAAAGTATATTAACGAAAAGCTCCCAGTTTGTGCTTCACTTTTGGGAATCCCTGTTGGCTTTTTGAGAGCCGGATTTTGCAAACAAAACATCACAGGAAGGATGTGTTTTTGTCAATTAATTATTTTTTGGTTAGAATGAATATTACATTCTTCTCAAGCAGGTGACTGACTTGCTAGGTGGTGGTCAGGGAAGGAAAGGACGAGTAAGAATAGTGTGAGAAGGATCCAAATGTGAAACTGATTTTTGTCTGAAAGCAGTGTTTCCATCAGGATTTTGTTTTATTTTTGAGCTATGAGAATGCATGTACAGATAAACCAAAACTGAAGTTTAACTTGAGTAGTCACAGGGAATTCTTAGAGTTGTTATAATTTGATGCATTGACATGTGAATCTGATTTGAGTTATAATTTCTACCTTTTGTTAAAACACTTACAATGAGAATAAAATTGAGTGATAAGACTAATAGGTATCTTATGCCCAAAGTCACTCATTTTTATGGTCTAATAATGCTACCTAGCATTCTGATTTTTATATTATCCAGCCAAAGAGTACCAATTCTATGCAACAGTGAGACATTAATATGTTAACCAATGCTTCTCTGAACATCATTTCATCATAGGGAAATTTCAAGTTGGAGTGCTTCCTTTGCTTACATTCATGTCCTGTTTTTGTTACTGGTTTGAAGACTAAAAGGCGTGGGTTCAAATAAGATTGGTCTCTTTGGTTGGAGACTTTCTGGGTTCATTCAGTAGTTGAGAAGCTACTCAATTATTGGGCACCTTTGTTGCCAGGCACTATGCTAGATACTGAGGATACGAAGGTAAGATTGCTGAAGTCCCTGCCCTCACAGAGCTTATATGGTCTATTGTAGTCGTAGATAAGGTGATTTTAACTAGGAATAATAAAGAAAATGCCTTGCTTCCTTTGATCACTTAATCACTTAAAATCAGCATCTTGATGGTTTTTTATCAGTAAAACTTCCAGTTCCCACCTTTTGCAACTGCAAACCACTGAAGTGATTTACAGTCTCCTCCATTTCTTGGCTGGAGAGGTGTTCTGTTTCTGTGAGACATTTTCTTAATTTGGTGGGACTTGACTTTTCTCCTTTGTCTATACATGTTTCTTAGATTGTATTGAAAAGTGGTCAAGTTAACTCATATCAACTACATTTTATAAGGGAAGATGACTTTCAAAACTAGTCATATTCTTAAAGAGGAGTAAATTTTTTTAAAACCTTAGTCATTCTGCATTTGTATTTTATGGATCCCCAGGATAACTAAAAAGGACTCTCTTTACCATAGTTTGGTTTTTAAAAAATTACCACGTCACCGTTATTTATTTATTATTTAATTTTAAAGACAAACTCCAAACTGAAGTGGCTCTGAGGTAAATCAGATGTGTTTTTGTTTTAGTTTATTAGAAGATCTATAAATGGAGGGTGACCAATGTCACCACTTCTAAAATATTGTCCTAAACAAACAAACCAGAATATTTTATTTCAGCTGGTGAATAGCTGTTCTAAATCTGTTGTATGTTAGACATACTATGAACTACCTCTTCACTTATTATGGGGAAGTTTCCTTAATAAAAGTGTGACAATTAAATCTCTGGTGTCAGTGGTTTCTTTTCTCTCTCCCTCCTGCTTTCCTTTTCAATTGCCTAAATTTGAATAAGGAAAGCTTTCTTCACTCCTATTGTTTAAACACTTATTAATCAGGCATTCTGAGCATGGCTTCTGAAGCAAATAAGGTTAACTAGAAATTGTTAGTAGGGTCACTTACTGAGGGGGTAGAGCTACTGCTTTTAAGAACTGGTTCAGACATTCCTTCATTTAGCAAATACTTGATGCCTACTCAGTGCTAGACTTCGGTAATGCAAAGATCATAAATCACTGTCCTAAATACCTCCGCCCAGATGGGTCACAGATTTCAATACAGGTATGATAATTGCAATAATAAAGGCAGCCAAAGGGCTTACAGGCTCCCAACTGGGAGCCAAATAATTCAAGGGCAATTCAGGATGGCTTAAGGGATGACATGATTTATGAACGAGATTTTGAAGGATAAGTGGGAGGAGAGCTAGGGCACGTGGGAAGAGGCAGCCCCAAGAGTTTAGATAGGCCTGGGTTTGCCTAGAACTGGCGGGTGGGGGACGGTCACACGCGACAGATGGGTGAAATGAGATCCAGAGGTAGGGACCAGATCCTGAAGGTCATTAGCCAGGCAATCTCGAATGCCGATCCTTATGGCAGTCTCCTTTCCTCTGCCACCTTTTAAATTGTAGATGGCCCAGTGAGGAGAGAACCCGGCCCGTAACAACCCATGAGGGCCTCCCAGTGGTCCCGTTGCAGGGTATTCCGATGGACGCGCTGTACCTCAGCCTCACAACCCGTCTGCGATACGGACGCTGGGGAGAACTCACGAAGGGGAACGGCTTGCGCGCCGAAACTGGGGCAGGAGAGATGGGATTTGCCGGAATACGGGTGCCTCTCTGCCATTCCAGGAGCGGGGGTTGTGAGGAAGGGAGAATGTCTCAGGATGTCCTTCCGGGACGCCAAGCGCACCCCAGTGAGGAGTAAAGCTAGTTGACACCGGATGTGTTTCCTCCCAGGCTAAGTCCACCTTCCGGCCTGGGCCGCCGCTGCTGCGGAAAGCTGGGTTCTGGCTCTCTGAGTCGGTGAGTGAGCGCGTTGGAGACGGGCAGGTGGGGAAGCCGGAAGAGGAGGAGGAGGAGGTAGAGGGCCCCTAGGCGCGGACTGGGAGGCTACACTGGTGCTGCAACCACCTGGCCGACAGGGCCTATGGGAGGCTTACTCGGGAAGACCCATGTGTGGTTGAGTTGCAGGATCTTCCAGGCCACCCTGGGTCCCGCTCAGTTCAACAGATGTTCCCTCCGCTGTGCCTGCTCTTGTGCCTACCCCTGTGCTCGCTGCAGAAACTCAGATGAACCAGGCACCTTTTCGTGGTGCTCTGGGAGCAACCCAACTCTCTGTTGGGGAGACAGGAGGAGGAGTCACAGCAGTCTTAAATTGATTTGGGTCTGAAAGGAGCCAAATCACTAGCTGGAAAGAGGAACTGAAGTTTTAATGTAACGTGCAAAAGTGTATTCCGGTCTTCTTGTCTGGGCAATGGTGAAAATCTCGATGTCGAAGGAGCTTTGATGAAAAAGAGAATAGAGGATACAAAGATAAAGCCTTAAAGATGGTTAGGACCAAATAATGAGGGATCTTGTATTTGCTAAGAAGGGTAGGCTGTCCTGGAGGTAGAGGAGAGCAATGGAGGATTTAAAGTAGAAGAGGGGGGCACCTGGGTGGATCAGTTGCTTAAGCGTCTGCCTTCAGCTCAGGTCATGATCCCAGGGTCCTGGGATCAAGTCCCACATTGGGCTCCCTGCTCAGCAGGAGGTCGGCTTCTCCCTCTTCCTGCGCCCCCTCTTCCCACTCGTGTTCACTCTCGCTAGCGCTCTTGCTCACTATCTCCCTCTCAAATAAATAAAAAGATTTAAAAAAATAAAGTAGAAGAGAGAACTTTTTTTAAAAAGTTTTAAAAGATGTTAGTTCTGGTGGCACTTAGGAGGGTAGTTTGGAATATGGGAGAGTGTGGTATCAAGGAAACCTGTTGGAAGACCTTGCAATAGTCCAAGGGAACAGAATGAAGACCTGCAATAGTGATGGAGAATAGGAAACTTGGAGATTACATTAAGGTTTCTAATGTGAGAAACTATGTTAAGTACCCTTAGTAGTGGGTATTAACAGTGTCTTGGACCACAGAACAGATAAAATTTAGCCAAGGAGAAAAACAGAAACCATTAAGTACAACTCAGTGTAATAAGTACTGTAACAAAAATGTGAAGAACGGGACATGAAGTCAAAAAGAAATGCATTTTCATTTTCTCAGTTTTGAGATGGTGGCATAGGAGTTCAGTCTTTGCACCTAGATTAGAATTAGAATTTTCTTTTACCCAATTAAGGTTTGGGATTTTTTTGTTTGCTTTTACCATGACAACGTAGGAAAGCATTCCCTATTACATCAACGTTTGTGTTTTATTTTGCGTAGATTGTGACCATGGCTGCTGAATCCGATGTTCTGCACTTCCAGTTTGAACAGCAAGGAGATGTAGTCTTGCAGAAAATGAATCTCTTGAGACAGCAGAATTTATTTTGTGATGTGTCAATTTATATTAATGACACCGAGTTCCAGGGGCACAAGGTGATTTTAGCTGCTTGCTCTACTTTCATGAGAGATCAGTTTTTACTCACACAGTCAAAACATGTCAGAATCACCATCTTGCAGAGTGCAGAAGTTGGCAGAAAACTGTTGCTCTCTTGCTATACTGGAGCACTTGAAGTTAAAAGGAAAGAGCTTTTGAAATACTTGACAGCTGCTAGTTACCTGCAGATGGTTCACATTGTGGAAAAGTGCACAGAAGCTTTGTCAAAGTATCTGGAAATTGATCTTTCTATGAAAAATAACAATCAACATACTGACCTGTGTCAATCCTCTGATCCAGATGTTAAGAATGAAGAAGAAAATTCAGATAAAGACTGTGAGATAATTGAAATTTCAGAAGATAGTCCTATAAATATAGATTTTCACGTAAAAGAAGAGGAAAGCAATGTTTTGCAGTCTACAGTAGAGTTGACATCAGAGAGAAAGGAAATGAAGTCACCAGAGCTGTCTTCAGTAGATATTGGTTTTAAAGATAATGAAATTTGTATCCTCCATGTGGAATCTATTAGTACTGCTGGTGTAGAAAATGGGCAGTTTTCACAGCCTTGTACCTCTTCAAAAGCAAGCATGTATTTCTCTGAAACACAACATTCACTGATCAATTCTACAGTTGAGAGCAGAGTGGCAGAAGTTCCTGGGAACCAAGATCAGAGCTTATTTTGTGAGAATACTGAAGGAAATCATGGTACAGTGAATGAGATTCAGAATCTGGAGGATGCTTATTCACTGAGGCACCAGTGCCCCAGGTGTCCTCGAGGATTTCTTCATGTTGAAAACTACCTGCGCCACCTTAAGATGCATAAGCTGTTCTTGTGCTTACAGTGCGGGAAAACATTTACGCAAAAGAAAAATCTCAACCGGCATATTCGAGGGCACATGGGCATACGGCCCTTTCAGTGTACTGTGTGCTTGAAGACATTTACTGCTAAAAGCACACTTCAGGACCACTTGAACATACACAGTGGAGATCGCCCATACAAATGCCACTGTTGTGACATGGATTTCAAGCACAAATCTGCCCTCAAAAAGCATTTAACCTCTGTCCATGGCAGAAGCAGTAGTGAAAAACTACCCAGGCATGATCTCAAAAGGCAAAATCTACTATAATTAGAACCACACCTTGTTACGTAAGCCTTATATAATTCTGTTAGGCAAGTTTTTCTACAGAAATGCAGCATCTGTTATATTGCATCCCCCCCCCCCCCATCTTTGGGTCTTAATTTTGGTCTGCCTACACATGTTATTCTTTCTGAACTTCTACTAACAGTTCCAAAGTGTGGGAGACATGATAAAGCTAATGGGATGCTGCCTTATCTCATAGTATATGTAAGTCCCAGTGGTATATCTAGAGAAATAATGTTCCTCTTTTAAATATTCTTGATTCTAGTGACAGAGGATCCAGCAGTATTTCTAGATTCTGATTTTGACTCTCTAGATAAATAATGTAAATGTAAAATCCCAACCACATAATAATTTTAATGAATTAGGATAACAGGAAGAGAAAATAGACTTAAAAACATGCTGTAATCCATTATTCTTTGTAGGACTAATGATTTTTTTTTTTTTTAAACAAACTGTGGTTGAATTCTAAAGCTAAGCACCAAGGTACTTGTTTTAAACTGTAAGGGAACACATTTCAAATTCACTTGGGAGTAGTAGAATTTCCTTGTACATGGGCTAATATTCCTTAAAATAATGGTTTCATGATTTTTTTAGTATACATATTTTAGAAATGATTAATCAAGCCCAAGTTTCTTGATTTTATTTCATGCAGTTGTATTTAATAATTTTTTGACCAGTGAAATTATACCACAGGCATGAAGCTCTGAAAATTTCTTTTAGAAATACCAACTTTACCAAAGATATTCTACTGTTTCCTTTTTAAAATTTACTTCATTTTTATTTTTTAGGTAACATATACTAAAACTGACCTTTGTTTTTGGTCTACATTTCCATGAATTTTAACACATGTAGATTTGTTCAACCACCACTGCAATCAGGATACAGAACATTCCATCATCCCTAAAAACACCCTTATGATGCCCCTTTATAATCAGCTCCTCCACCTATCTTTAAATCCTGGCAACAGTTGCTATTGCTATAATTTTGCCTTTTTTGGAATGACATGAGTGGAATCTTGTAGTATGTTCCCTTGTGAGATGATTTTTTTTCACCACACAGAATGCCATTGGATTCATCCACGTTGTTGTGTGTATCAATAGTTCATTCCCTTTTTTACTTTGAATTGGCAATAAATACTATCTTGCTGCCACTAGATGAACAGTTTAAATATGGTTGGCTATTAGTGTTCTCTTAATTATTAACTTTTTTCATTTACATTAAGCAATTTTCATTTACCACATGTTGACAAAAACCCTAACCATCCCTAGAGTTTTATTCTGTATTTCCAGAAATGTGCCAAAAGCAAAACCATGACTGTATGGTTATTTTAGTGAGAGTAATATTTCTGATTGTGTTATGAGCCATTGGTCTCTGCTATCCCTGTGTGCAAATAACACAAAACTTTTTGTTGTCAAAGCAAAGATTAAAATCTATTGCAGGGCAAATCATACTCTAAAATGCAGGAACTACTTTTAGTTAAAGAAGGCTGACTGGATGCATCTCACTTTCAAGTTCTATTCCTCCTCTACTCACCTCAGCTTTATGTAGAATTTCTGTTATACTTAGGTTCTGAAGCCCTTTGACATTTTAAAATGTAATATACTTTGTACCATTTATAAGAATTTTGTGATTGATCACATGTTGATAGTTATAAATGTTAAATATCCTTTTTGTGATACTTTTGAGAAAAACATATTCTCCATAGAATTTTAACTCTGGGAGACACTTTAAGGAATCCACCTCTCATCTTTGATAAGAAAACCAACTTCATACCCCCCTCCCTCCCCATGTCACTTGTTAGTGACATTGGACAGGTCACCTCTCTATCAATTTTTCTTAAATTTATGTGTAAAACAGTAACTTTGAACTTGGTAGTTTGTAAGATCATTTCCAGGTCCAAAATTCTATGATTTTATACTTAAATCTCCCTGAGTTTCCAAGAACAGAGAGGAAAGCAAGAGAGGAGAGTTTTGTGTCTCTATGAATGTTGCTATTTGAGTGCTACTTTGGAGACAGAATTTTTCTAAAGTAGTGTTTTTCTTCCACTGGAGAACATGATAGTGCAGCATTTAATTTTCTTTCCCATTTGACCTATGATTGGCCACTTCTAGGTATGAAAATATTTCCCTTTCAGAAATAGTTTGTGCTTGAAGTACTTTCCTTATTTTTGTTTCCTAGGATGAAGTTTTTTGGGGAAGGGATGGTGATGGGAGGGAAGGGTAAAAGAATAGTAATAAACTGTTTTTTTAGGAATTGGTATCTACTATCCTTGATGTTTGAAAAAAATTATGGTTGAACTTTGTTTAAGTTTTATGTGTGCCTTGTAAGATTCTTGTGACATTTTTTGTAAGCACTTTGAGATGTTTGCTTGGGGGGAAGGGTTGTTTTGTGCAAGTGATGGTTATTTATTTTTATTTATTCCTGTCCAGTAGCACAGAGTGATCTCAGAACATTCCTAGGACAGTTTCTGTTTGCATGATGTATATAAACAGTTCTGGGAAAATGGAATCTTTTTAAAAATGCAGGTATGGCAAAGTAAAGTGTTGAATTTATTCATTTAAAACATTTACTTTTAGTTGTTTGTGTTTCTGATATGATGGGGAAAAATGCAACATGTTTGAGTTCAGCCTCTTCATTTACTGCATTTATGTATAAAGGATCTTGGAAAGGTAGTTGTTACTTTGGTATAAGAAAACTCGTGCTGTTTTTCCTTGGATGTAACTATTCTCTATCTTTACGTAAAAAAAAATAATAAACTGGAGATGGGAATGGAGAACATTGTGTTTTGTCTACATCTCTGAATTTTAAAGAAGAAAACTATTTCTTCTGACCATTCATTCAAGAAGTATTTACTGAGTCTTTACGTAATATTAGAAGTTAAATATGCAGACCAAAATCCCTGCTGTCATGAAACTTGTGTTCTAGTGGAAGGAGAAAAACAGCAAACAAGTAAAATCAGTGTATATGAGATTTTGAAAACAAAGTTGGAGAAAATAAAATGCAGATAGGGAGTGCCAGGGAATGGAAATTGGGATTGTAATTTTAACTGTGATGGTCAGGCCACCTTTGAAAAATCTTAGCAGACTGTCATATACACTGTCCAGTAGAATAAAACAGATACATATATATTTGTGTGTGTGTATATATATATAGGTCTTTACAGTTTATAAACTACTTGTTCATATGGTTTTTAATTCATAGTGGATTTGCTTTCATACATGCCTTTGTTGGACATCTGGTTTCACATTGGAAAGTGCCTTGAGTTTAATTACAACTCATGGCCATTTTCTTAATCTGTGTTTTTCAGTTTCTCAGTAACAGAGTACGTAGTATCTGCCTTTTAGGATTATTTTGATGAATGAAATAAAACTAAAATCAATAGTAGAAATGAAATTTTTATTACCTAACACAGGACCTGGCACATGGTAAGCACTTTGTAAATGCTTATTCCCTTATTTCTTACCAGGCTGTTTCTTCATATATAAAAACATAGTAATTTCTGCTTTACAGTTTGCTGTGAAAAATCATTCAACAAAATTTTTTTAAAGACTTTATTTGACAGGGAGAGACACAGTGAGAGAGGGAACACAAGCAGGGGGTGTGGGGGAGAGAGAAGAAGGCTTCCCATGGAGCAGGGAGCCTGATGCCGGGCTCGATCCCAGTACCCTGGGATCATGACCTGAGCCGAAGGCAGATGCTTAACGACTGAGCCACCCAGGTGCCCCTCATTCAACAAATATTTATTGAGATATTAATTGAATTTTGATCCTTGCCACCGTCTAAGGAGTTTTCTTTTTAATAAAGAGATTTGTGTTAGTGCCTGCCAAGCAAATGCTTTTCTTTTTATTTTTTTTAAATTGGGAGCTTGCTTGGCAAATATGTGGAGGGATTGAGGGAATGGGTCAGTATTTATTACCGGACAGTGCATAGAATATAATACAGATGTATCAGATTGTAATCAATGGAGACCACTTTTTTCACAAGGAGAGTCAGACACTGCCTCACATCAGTGTCTAGGAGGCTGGCTCAAGACGCCGATGAAGGTGCGGGGAGTTTCCCATCAACCCTTTCGGCTTGCCTAAGCCTCCTAACAGCACCTCCCACAGTGCTCCGGGGCTCCCCAGTCACGTGACAGTGGTGGTTAGACTCGACCAGAGGGAAGCTGATGCGCAGTCCAGGTGGCGGGGGCTACTACTCTCCTTCCACCTCCTTTACTCCCAGTCCTGCGTGATCTCGCGTGAAAGGGGGGAGTATCTTCTCGCGAGAGCTAGGTCGGGATCCCTCCAGGACCGCCTCCGTGGAGAGGAGGAGGTGGAGGAGGCGGAGGCGGAGGGAGGAGGAGGAGGCCCCGTCGCGGCCTCCGCCGCCGCCAACGGGGCTGTCCCTATAGCTCCCGATGGAGTTTGAGGTCGTGAAACCGCCGCCGAGCTCTGCCCCGGCGAGACGAGGCGCCTCCGTCGCCGAGCCGCGCCGTCGCGGGGCTCCCGGGAGCGGCCCTTAGCGACCCCGCCCGGGCCCCCACAGGTAGGGCGGGGGCGGGCACGATGCGGCTCGGGCCCTAGCTCGGGTCCCTAAGTCCTCGGCGGTCGGGCGGGAGACCGGTCTCACCCCGGGGCCTGTGTGCTGTCGTCGCCGGTGCCCTGAGGGTTGGGAACTGAGGGCCGCACCTGACGCTCGGACCGGGCCCGGAGTCCGGGGCCTGCGGAGGCCCCTCTCTCTGGTAGGGCTTTTTCAATACCGAGCGCCCGGCGCAAATGGCCACCTCCCTTCGACACCGGCGGAGGGGAAGCCTCTGACCCCTAAGGAACCCACCCAAGCTAGAGGCCAGGGTTTTCTCTCTCTTTTCTACACCAGTTGGCAAGAGGGGTTTTGGAGGAGGTCCTTGAAACCAAGCCGTCTCCTAGCTTTTCGGCTTTCTGTCCTGGGGCTTCCCGAGATCCCAGAGCAGGGATGGTGGAGGCGATCTGAGTGGTAAATAGGGACCGCGGCCAAACAATGCCCTGGGAGGGCTTAACCTCCTGGGAACGAGATGGCCGGACCAGAGTGGTTGCACAGTGGATGTGACGGAGCAATGGCATGAAACACGGCCAGGGAATTCTGCTGTGGCTTTCTTTCCCTCTTTCATTTTTCCTTCTTGGGGAAACCTCTTAAGGAGACTCTTCCACCATCTTAGAAGAATGGTAGAAAGCATCTTTGTTTCTCAGAAGCAGCTCTACTTTTCTCTGCGCTTAGCTTTCAGGAAGGGAGAACATGAGAGTTGCTGTCATTTCCATCCTTCTAATCACAGAGGAGTTTAAGATACCGGCAAGGTAGAACCTTGACACCAAAATAGTCTCAAGTAATCAC